AACTACGTAAGGTAAGAACCCCACTTGTGAATTTTGAAGTTTTTACGCGTCCTTAAAAAAGGCGGTCGCTAACAAGTGGCTAAATGAGACTACAGTGGTTGTCGGGACATTAACCGTCATCACGCCGGATACAAACGCTGGGAACTCTTGCTAGTCCGTGATGTCTCCTGTAGATCAAATTTTTGGGTTAAGACAAATATTAGGTCAATAAACAATTTATTAAGCTGCGCTGATATGTTTATCGGAGATCGTCTGAAGCAAAACGGTAGTGACGTCAAAATCATCCGACCGTGGTGTAGTTCCGGGTTGGCCTACAAAAATATGTCATATGGTTTGTTCTCTATAGTCACCGAGGTCAGTGGACTCTTTGGATTTTTGCCATTTTCTCTCTGCTGCCCTGAGCACTACTCATAACAGGCATTCTATGAATATCATTGTAATGTCAAAAGCAGGCGATGCTAACTTTCGGCCCAGAATGCAGTAGGTCTTTTCTGGTTAGGTTCGGGCAAACAATGCCTCAATGTCTTCTGTCATCAGTAAAACATATCTATTTATATCAGACATACATAAATAAATAAAATAAGGTTGTATTACAGTAAGCTGATAATGAGTTAATTGAGTAAATGTATACATCAAACCCCCCCAGAGAATTCTGAGCATCAAATACTTCATTTCCTGCATTCTGGTGAATTTTTATGCAACAATTTGTGCCTTTTCTGAATTAATTTGTGGCGGAAATTTCTTTACTATGTATAGGAAATTATAATTATTTTTGAATTACTATTAATTATTCATAACTTTCTGCATATTCAAAACATTACAGGTGTTTTGGGATGTTTTTTTTAGGAATCATGTACATCTCAAATCAAATCTATTAGCGAATGACACCTTGTTATAGCCTTAGTATCCAAAATTTAAAACTACATAAAAGCCATTGTTATGGCTGACTAACCTTTCACTCACTATTTGGAAAAAATGCGGTAGGATATTGTCTGTGTTTATTGCACTTAAAATCAATTGATAGGCAGGCTATATAAAGATTAATATCATCAAGGCATGTAGATTCATAGCCTGCTGTTTTTATTAAAATGTTGGCAGGCAGAGGACAGAACAATTACACAATGAATAAAACAATAACGTAACTGTTGTGACCCTGCCACTCCACCGCTCTCTGATAATGGGGACGGCTGTGTCTGTGTTGCTTCTTCTGTCACCTGACAAAGTCACAAATCAATCGCCATGAAGAGTGAGAAAACGGTTGGAAACAATGTTTTGCATTCATTAGCGGTAGCCTATGAGGGGGGACTATTTTCCTCACTTTGTTTCGTGAAATATCTTCCAATGTTTTCTTCCACCTTTCTTTTCTTGCCCGACATCCTCGTACATGTGTCGCACACCAACAGTATCGACCTCCCTCTCGTCAACACTGGCAAAGCCTGCAAGCGAAACAACTTCGACAGCCTACAGGAAGCTAAGCCAATCAAAAAACAGACCTGTCTCAAAGTCGTATTTGAGAGGCGGTGCCGAAGTGGGAAAGGATTTAACCCTTTGTGTGCCACATGAGGCGCCTTTTTTTCTTTCCTTCAACCTTAATATTGGTGTGGACATTTCAGCCATCGTTTGAGATTGGTATGGACACGTCCATACGGTCCATACGCAATTCTACGCCTATGGGAAGAGGCTTTCTTAAGCAGAGACAGGTCAAGATTGCATTGTCTATGACAGGTGCGTCTTTTTCTGTTTCCAAAGGATATCCAATGGAGATTTGTTTGTAGCATATGATGCGTTTGGCAGGCAACAAGAGGAAATATAGGCAAAAGCAGTTGTTGTGGATGTCCTGGTTCAGTGGCTTGTTTAATTTCACACGGCTGAACCCATCCCTGCTTGATTTTCAGCTAGTAATCAACAAACGGTGTGACACGTGTCAACTGACCTCTCCTGTTGATGCTCAAAGAATGAAACTTAAGTGCTCAGCCCAAACAAAGCCTGCCAACAACCCAATATCACTCTCCACTCAAAGCAGGTTTCCCCTTCACCCACCTAAGCTGACTAGACCTTCCTAGATTTCAGATCAGAGCTTGTTCTCTGGTTATCTAACGTGAGGGACCATCATTTGCCATTAAAACATAGTGTGGGGTGTGTGTTTGTCTGTGTGTGTGCAGAGTGAAATGTGGAACTCAACCAGACTTGAGAGCACAAAAATGAGCAAAGAACATTAAGAACCTTTGGAGCAGCCGGTTGTTACTTGGGTGTTAAGTGTTATCTGTTTAAAGGCTTTATATGCGATTTTTTGATCCAGCAGATGTCGCCCATGAGCACCAGCATGAAACAACAACTTGCAGTGCATTGTTGTGTTAGCATGCTAATGCTAGCAATCTTTATTATGCTCGTATCTTCACACTGCATGTAAATTTACCTGAAATGAGCGTGATCTAGAAACACAGTTAAGCAGTGAGTACAGTATGTTATTCTTCTTTTCTCTAGTCCCTCAATTAAACAACTTTTATACACGAGGGGAGGAGTCAGCCGGCCGTCCCAACAATGTAAACAAACTGAAGATAGGACTCGGAAAACTCGGAAAGCATCCAAGACAGTGGGACTCTGGTGTTACACCCATTGTAGACAGTCATGACTCACAGTTATTTTCAGAGGATATACTTGATTTCTAATATTTAAGTGTGAAAAATCGCATATAAACCTTTAAGGGTTATGATTAAACTCTGACCCTAAAATAAATAGGTTTGCAAGGTCTTTTGGTTTGACTTGTTGTTTGGTATCTAATGTTAATAGAAAGCCTTCCTCTATACAAAACAGTTTAAAAAAGGAGAAAGTGTGACAATAGGAACAGAAATAAAACAAGCCCTCAGCTCGTAAAAACTTAAACTTTGTCATTCTCTAGGACTGATGATCATGAAATTGGAAACTATAAAGCTCCAGGATGCATTCTAACCTTCCTTGAATAAGTTCTGGTATCCAAGTCCCTTTTTTATGCCTGTCTCAATTTTAAAATTGTGAGTTGCAATGTATTCATTTTTGGACCATATATTTCCCTAAATTCTGAAGGCGCTTATTTACGTAATTAAATGTGACTGTCAAATATTTAGACTTGTTATTCAAATGCAAAACCTCCAAATATAACCATAACAAGTCGTGAATTATTGTAACCACTAATAGAGGTGGTGAAACACCACAAGGTAATTTTAGATCACATGACTTTGGGATATCATACCGCTTATGTTTCCAATGCAGAAACAATGAGGACTATAAACAGGCACTTATCTCGCCTTAGTCACTGCATGTTAAGAGTTTACTAGGTTACTTTAAATCCCAGAACTGCCTAACTATTTTAGTTTGATTCTAGTAATGTATATTGGGGCCAATCCACATGAAGTTCACAGCTTATTTTATATAGTGATTTATTTTGATAAAGTCAATGCAGTCAAAGTAAACCATGGGGAAACACTGAATGTTATGTACATCAAGACCCATGCCACTAACTAAGCAGCCGGTGTGGCAAGCCTACAGTGGGGTCAATCTGTTTACCTGCTACTTATCTGTGATGACGAGCCAAGGCCAAGAAGACATCGACTGTGTGCAGACTGGGGCCAGCAAGGATTACATGTCATGCTAACTGCCCTGCTCCAGTTGTGTATGATTCTAAGCAACAGGTCTAGACTAGAGTCTACCCACCCATCTGTGTTGTTTTTTCTCTAACTGTTTTAATCTCGTCTTCTAATATATGACAGAACCCTTTTTATTGGGTTATCTTATGTAACAATGGTAGTTAATGTAATGATATTTTCATGTGGCAGGTACAATGTATAACCCCCCCCCCAAAAAAAACAATAACTAAAACGTTTAGTTTCCCATATAACCTTTGGCCTATGAAATAACCTATGAAAAAAGTCATGTAATGCCTTCCTCTTTAGTTATCCATTGTTGGTATTTCAAGCCCTATGTTGTGCGTAACAATTTGCCAGAACTTATCTGTATAGAATACCTTTTATAACTGTGTATTGTGTAAGGGAAATGCTGCCCAATCTCACATGTTTTCTTTCCACATCTTCTTCTCAATGTTTGCAAGTGTCAGCCTTCATGCCCATGTATGTGTTAATTGCGACCTACATGCCTCTCATCTGGTGACACGGACCTACTTGACACAGCCTTGACAAATTCCATGTGTGTCTGTTTGTTGAGAATTCCTTTTGTTACCATCACATTACCATTGCCTCTTGTGACAGTGCTGCGATATTCTGTCACTTTCATAGCAGACAGGACACCAATATGATGTTCTGGACAAGAACGAATCAAAATGACAGCAGATGATTTACTGGATATTTGCAATTAATGTAAGTTTGTATAGGCACAGATGAGGTGAAAAAAACCCATCTAAAATTAGTGAATATGATGTGTGTGTGTACACTAGTGTAATTTAATGTTTAAAGGCATGAATCTTTCGCTGTGCTATGAAGCATAACATTTTGTTAAGTCAAGTCAAGTTCCCACTTAAAAGAGAGTGATGGGAGTATGTTGTAAATTACTACAACTTCAACTTTAGGTTATCGACTGGTGCAGTACAATCAATGATTTGCCACTTAATATTGTTAACACTCGTTTTTTCTCTTAAAGCTAGCCTTCTGAAGTGTTGACAAAAATATTCCCCTGTCTTTTTTTCAGCTGAATTACCCCTATCGTGCAGGGCATTGTTTGGATTGCAGCGTATTCAGCGAAATTAAACCAAGCATCATCGCTCCTTTCGGTATAAGGCAGTCTAGCTGGAAAGTAGGTTAGGCGGTCACTGCTGTGGTTACACTACGTTTGCACAGACTCGGCTAGCCCTCTCCCTCCCTGCTTTACGGCAGTGGGGTCCCCAAACAATAACCACCTGGCATTAACTCTGCTGAACACGTAGCACTGTCGATCAAAAAAACCAACATTCCCCCACATCGTTTACTAACACAGACTGCGACCACACGTCGGATGTTTCTGTAAACACTTGCCTAATTGTCCCTCGCTGATCGTGAGCACGATTTGATCCATGAGAAGCGAGCGGAATTCAACATCCTCGTCGGCACAGCGCTCCTTTAGTGCGCGGAGGATCTGGACTTGAGGATACTCCTGGCTGATACGCCGGTCGGTCACGAACCAAACTCTTGAACACATTGTGTGTTGGTGGAATCAAGAAGTTGATTTAAAAAAAGATCCGGCTGTTGTTTGAGGCGGCTCGTCACACCGAGTAGACCGGGGGGTCGGTCGGCTGTGATGCGGTTAGCACAGAGATGCTCACACAATGGAGACCTTAGCGGCTAGCGGCAGAAGCAGGCAGTGATGTGGCTGAAAAGAGGACCGCGGTTCAGCCGTCGTCTGGACAAAGCCGGCTAAGATGAATTATCTTCTTTAATCCTCTTCATTTGCAGCCATGTAGTGTTTCCGGGCACGTTTGGATAAAACCAGACCGCGCAAAATCGACAAAAGCGAACCAAAAATAACGGAGTGTTTCCGCGAAGAAACTTCTTCCTTTCCACCGTGGTGCAGTTGTCGGCACTATTTGCCCGCTGCCGGGGCAAACAAAGCTCAGTCTGTGCCTCTTTGTTTCGTCCTCGTGTCGACGCAAAACTATCAATGAAGTTTTCCCGCGACTGCAACGGCTGTGCACCGCTGCAAACCGAGAAGTCTCCGGTGTGTCACAATGGACTGAGCTAGCTCACAAAGACAACTCTGCTCCGTTTGGCTGCTATCCACGAGGTGCTGGTGCTGAAAAGTGCACGCGCTTCGTTTACAACTCCACTTCTAGGCGTGCCCGTGCACGGCGAGTGGCGCCTGCGCCTAAATAATAGGTTTAGAGAAGAGTAAACCAATAGCGACTCGTCAACTTCCCGAGTTGTCCAAACAGGACACGGAAGGTGTGGGAGAACTGTGGCTATCCCGACCAATGAGGGAGGACCAAACGGAACGGGAGGCAGAGCTTGGTGAGCGCGCGCGCACAGAACTGCATTGAACCAGTACGTGGAGTCTGCAGTACGCACGAGACCGCGCACTTTCCTAACCGGTTGAGACCAGACGGTGCAAGGAGGTTTGGCGAATACCGACAGCGCTGTCTCCATGCCGAAGTGGCAGCAAATGAAACAAGGTCATAACAAGCCAAAGACACAATTAATCATCCCATTTTATGGGGAGATTAAAGACTAAGAGCAGTTTGGATTAAAATCCGAGCCTAATAAAAAATACGACTCAGCTACTTGAATAAACAGTCAGTGCTTTTGTTTTGAAGTGCCATTCAGAGCGATGACTGAGAGAAACACTTCCATGTGTTGATGGTGAAAAAATATAGGCTACGAGCGTCCCACTTGTTCTCTACCTCTCTCTGTCTCTTTGATGGTCTATTTGTTGTAACCTAGTCAAACTTGTTTCCACAGACATGGTTCGACTAAAACATTACGACAATATTGTTTTCAGCCAACGACGTTCAGAACTCCACATAACCTACAATAAGCTCCTTGAAACTTTCATTTTTAATATTTTATTCTATTAGTCTGCTTTAAAGTTCTGTTTGTTTATATTGCCTGTTTGCTCTCATATTAGGCTGTGTTTGCCTTTATAGTCTATCCTTGTTTTTATTGTCTGTTGTGAAGCATTTTTTTTTTTTACTTGTAGGTCTATTGAAAAATGCGATACAAATAAAGTATTATTACTATTAGGCTGTTTGAGAATCTCTCAGATAATCATCATGTTTTGGGGCTCTCTTAGATAGGTCTAGGCCTATATGCGCAATCCTTTGAGCAATTCTTTACACCAATGCCTAAAAACGAGCCTCTATGAGCTCATTTGGTAGGCTATATGTTGGTTGTTTGCAGAAATGTAAATAAATAGGTGTTAAATACTTTAGTGAACGCTGGTGTGAATAGTATACAAGGTCCAAACAAATCTCTGATAAAGTTAAACGTGCTTTTTTCGAGATAATAATTTCATAGGTTCGTGAAAGATAGTTTACTATTAGGGAACACTCTGTGCCGATACCAAAATGCAACTATTTTTCTTCATGAAAAGAAACTTAAAACTGAGGAAAATAATTTCCTCATAAATAAATAAACATAATAAAGGAGCTTCGGATTCCATTTAATTTGTTTAAAATATTCCTAGAAGTAATTCATCAGACCATCGTTGTTTCTCCTACGAAAACATTGCCTTAATATTTATCTTACTGAACTTTAATCATAAAGAAAGTGTTAAGAAAAAAAAAACATGTTCACAGTCGCACTCCAAACCCGTTAGCCGTCATCACTTTGTTTTTACTTTGGATGCAGTTTGAGCATGCGCAACTGTCACCTCTCGTCAACGAGGCGTATTCTCGCGAGGCCAAATTGTGCCCTGCCCATATCAAAGAAGAGAAAAAAAACGATGAAGTCATAAGCTATTTGATTCAACAATATATTCTTCATGTATTATAACCTGGATTAAGTACAAATCACTGTCTTTTTTCTTTCTTTCTTATCCTATCTATCCAACCTACATGAAGGCATAAAGGCCCCCAAAAATAATCTAAATAATCTAAATCCTCTAGGCAAACTTAATGTTTTTTTTCCTCTTTGTCATAATGCTTTTGATTATGTTTGTGAAGCACTTTGAATTGCCTTGTTGCCTAAATTTTCTATATAAATAAACTGAAATTGTATAACCCCCTGTCCTCAACGTTTTAAAAGACATGGATAGTCTCAACAAGATTTATTTATTTGCCTTAATACATCCTTTAGGTTCACATTTTAAGAAATGTCTACCTCCTTCAGCATACATAGAACTCCTAAACTCACTGCACCGTTGATAAGCCAGTAAGATCAAACCAGACAGAGCCAGTCGTGCTGCCCTATCATCACAAAGCCTGATGAGCTGCAAGACCATTCTGCCATCTTATTAGCAGGTTCAAGTTCACAACACTGACAAATGTTAGTGTTTTACTGTTAAATTATTGTACCATACATTTAGGAATCCTCTAACAACCGTTTGATAAACAAGACATCAAAGCAGAAAAACTGCAGGCTCTATTGACATGATTCACCATAGGACTATTTGAGAATCAGTGGGATATATTTTTCCTGAGATGATCACATGAATTTTAAATATAATATTATAAAGCTGGAGTTAGTTTATAAGTAATATTAAGCTAATAGTCAAGTTGTAAACAAATATTTATTTATTTTTGGCTGGGAGATCAGGTCTTTGCATAAGGGTTGCATTTTTAAAGCATGAGCCATTTGAGGAGACATTTAATTACTTTGAAGACTAAAAGTTGTTTCACAATGGCCAGTCTTTGTAGAACATTTGATTAGTGAATAAAAACACAGATCCAATTCAGATTGCTTACAATGGGTTTTTGAAAACACAGCACTGTATTGTGTTAGCTTAGAGAGTCCTCTGGTGGTGGACATACAAATTACAACAGCTGGCCCCTAACATTTACAAGATTTAACAGTTATCAGTTATTTTATTTCTTAATCTTACTTTCTAAATCATTAGTATATACATGCATATATAGCGTTTTATTTAGTATAAAAAAATATTCATTCACTTTCATTTTTCATCAAGTACTGCATGCACACCCCTTATCCAGGGGAGTGCAGCACTGAGTTGTTTCTGAGCTTGACACTGATTTGAAGTCTGAATGAGGATGGGTCTATTTGACCAAGCTTACAGACATATAAAACATCATTTGTTCGATACCTAACTTATTTTAGTTGTGTTAAAAGATTGGTGAAAATTATACGAGGAGAAAACCCGCCAAATTACTTGCTTAAAACATTTTGTTATTGATATTGCCCCCTTCATGGAAAACTTAATCTTTGTGCCAACAAAAGTTGTGCTATCACAAAATCATCTTGTTGTAAACTCAAAAAACTAGGGCTGAATAATTTTTCCCCTTGTCGCAAATTAATGTGGAAAAAACCCAGTTGCAACTTTTAACATACAGTATATCATTCTGCACATTGAATAGATTAGGATTGATAGGCACTGTAATTGTCTTTGCATGTTTGCACTTGTATTTTAAGAACCTGACGTCATTTATATTCCCACTTGTTATTTTCTGGACATAACTAAATAATGTTTATCATTTTATGATTGATCTGAATGATGTTGATTTTTGTCTTTTTGATGGCTACAGCAGGCGTGAAGAGCCCAAGACAAATTTTTCACTTTGTAAGACAATAAAGTGAACCTTGACTCTTGACATTGAAAATCAAACAACCAATTGGACTTTAACTGTGAAGGATAAACATAAAGCCAGTTAAAAGTGTACCATGACACATGAAGCCGTTTTAAAAGTTGTTGAGTGAACGATAGCTAGCGTTAGCTATGTATGTTTTCACGGAGGATGAACTTTTTTCCTGTAAGCGTACTGTGTATTCTTGGCTTTATTAAACGTTTGGTAGATAGATTTTGCAGATGAGGTTATGTATTTGTGGTTTAAAATGTGTTAAAGTTTGTAATACAGGAATGGAGTTCTAAAGTTGCCGTTCGGCAAATATATTCACTGAAATGCTCAGTTTTAACAGCACTGAATGACATTGCACTGTATGATTGAATCTTGTTTAATCTGAAATCCGTATACAAAGTGGAAATGTATATATATATATATATATATATATATATATTTTTTTTTTTTTTGGAAAAGCATCATTTGATGTGGCTCAAGGCCTACATAACATGCTGCAACCTGTAACAATACCCCCTGTGCCCTTAATAAACCCACACGACTATCAAAGAATCACATTCAGGGGCGCTGGTGGCACAGTGGTTAGAGTGCGTGCCCCATGTATGGAGGCTGTAGACCTCCAAGCAGGCAGCCCATGTTCGAATCTGACCTGTGGCTCCTTTCCTACTTGTCATTCCCTACTCTCTTTCTCCCTGATTTCCGACTCTTTCCACTGTCCTATCTCTCTAATAAAGGCACAAAATGCCCAAAAATAGAAATTCAGATTCACCTGGAAGTCCAAGGCAGTCCACCTTAAGTTGCTGGGAAAGGCAAAAAGGGTTCAAAACCTTTTTTAGTTGGCTTTGATAAAGATTAGTTCAAGATTTGGCCATTATGTGATCGTTGCTTCTTTTTTTTTTAAATTCACAGGAGTAACTGGAGCCTCTGCAAGGTGACAGCTCGCTTGAACAAGAAGTGGAGACAACAGGAAGAAGTATAATTTTATGCTTCCTACCCAAAAGGGATGCCCTTTGCTCTATGCTCTATGAAGTATTCAAATAAACAATGTGTCATTTTGCTAAATTCAATACTCATATAACCCCTTCCTCTCTTTTTTCCAAAGACCAGTGCCTGATGGCAGGGTGGTGAACAGAGTGTCCAGGATGTGATGTGCCCTACATGATATTTGAGGCTCAGCAGGGAAATAATAAAGTTGAACAGAACTTTTTATCATTTTTTCTGTTTGTGTGTTTTCCCTTATTTTAAAGTACTTAATAATTCACTTCAAGACCACACAGAGATGAGTTTCAACACATACTAGGGTTAATGTACTTTGAAATGAGCCCCCTCATTGACACAGTTAGGTGGTCCAACAGCACAAGGTAAGAAAATCCCACAATAAGACATAATAGTGCAATAGTGCTAAATATTGAATGATGGTGAGGAGTAAAAATATCAAATTAAAATGCACAAGGTTAGTTAAAACTATGAAGACAAATAAAAGTTAAACTATATTCAGAGATTTCAGACAATAGTGCCATACAATCCAAGGGTGAAATGGTCACTTCATGAAGGAGTGCAGGAGAACTTCCTGTTGAAGTATGTCAACAGAACGAAACATAGGCCTATTATATAAACATTGCACGAAAAGTAAGGACATTTGTGTTTGGTAGATTATTATTTATTTGTTGTTACAATGCTTCTTTGCAATAAATCTTATCCCATTGGAAAGCATGTTTATTTCCCTTTCAAATGGTGCCATATATGTAAGGAACATGCATTTGTGGGATGAGCAGCAGAGCTGAGTATGTGGGTTTCGCCCATGAAAAACGTACCAAATCTTCTCTGCCAACAACTTATTCTACTGTGTACTCTTGTTTGGTGTCGTTTAGTGGCTTGGATGATTGAAGTTTGAAGAAACAAGACATTGGCAATTTAACAATTTATTCATTTAACAAACAGGAGCCTCAGTAGTGTAGCATACACAGCCATGACAGCCTGGCACCTCTCCTCATGCTGGTCACAAGCCTGGTCACACACTGCTGTGGGAAGACATACCATTCTTCAACCAGCATTTGTTGCAAGTCAGCCAATGTGGTTGTGTTGGTCACTCTGGCATGAACAGCACGCCCAAGCTGATCCCACCAGTGTTCAATTGGGTTGAGGTCAGGACTGCAGGCGGGCCATTCCTTCCTCTCCACTCCCAAATTCTAGAGATTGTCTCTGATAAACCTCGCTCTGTGGGGGCGAGCGTTGTCATCTTGGAGGATAGGGTTTGTTCCTAAACTGTGGAGACATGGGCCTGTCTCTGACATCCCTCCGTTATATGGAACTAAATTCTCCATATGGAACACTCCAAATGATGCTGCAACTTGGTTGTGCGGAAGTAGCCCTACAGCACAGGCCCTATCAAGATCAGTCAAACTTTGCATGCTTGGAACATCAACTTACCACTGTAGCAGGGCGAATGCTCACAGGTGCTGCCAATCAGTGGCCAATCAGGCACCTGATTGGCAGCACCTGGGGTATCAGAAGCTCAAAACAAGAGTCAACAGCAACAGCAGAATAAGCTGTTTGGCATTGGCAGAGAAGATTCTGCTCTGCTGCTCATCCCACAAATGCATGTTCTTTACAAATGTTTTATAATTTAAAACTGAAGTAAACAGGCTTTCCAACGGTATAAGATTTATTGCCCAGAAGCATTGTTATAACAAAGAAGTAATCTACCAAACACAAATGTCCTTACTTTTTGTGCGATGTTTATATTAATGTCATAACATAATGAGGAGACGTAATGTTAAGATAAATTGTGACTAACTATGTCTGCCTTCCACATATTCCCATATTGTTTTAATTAATTATTTAATGTCATTAATGTCATCCTTCAGTTTTGGAATGCAGAAAGACATATCACGTTATTTTATTTTGTGCTAAAGACATTAAATAAAGCAAATTGCACTTATATGCTTCACTATAATATTTTAAGAAGGAATTTGTATGAAATGTGTTTTCTAAGAAGAGAGCCTTAACTGCAGACTCAATAAGCATTTTTCTCTGTATTTAATTCATTTTCCTGTTCATCTCTCATCTTAACTGAGTAAACGATAGTAAAAATGATATGATGTTTAGTAATGAGTTAATATTATTTATATTCATTAAATGTATTTATGTCTATATAAATAAATGACTAAAATGTTAATGTAAAAATGGAAGTAAATCCAATTTTATATTGAAATATTTTGCATGCATGCATTCCCGTATAAGAGTTTATATATGAATGAAACTCTAAACCGGAAGTGCAGTCAAATTTTATTTTGAAAGTGTTTGCTGTTTGCAGAGGTTTAAAGTCATTTTTAACATATTCAGATAAGCTCTTATTAATAACAGCATCCTGAGCATTTTGTCAAGGCAAGACAAGATTAATCAACTGCACAGTTTAACCAAAAGAACATTTGTTCAGTTTGTATCAATAACCCATATTTTTAATGCAAAACTTAAAGATTTCATAATTCTACATTGTTTGAATGTTTGTATCCTTGAAAATAGTTATTCATGTGTTGCAGTTGCATGACTGCTAAAGCACAACTTGTGCACTCTTCAAAGCATTGAGGATTTAAGTCCAAATGGGCAATCACTCTGATCCCAAAAAAACTAAAGCATTAGCAAAGTCAGTGCTACAGCGACAGCAGTCTCCTTGAGACTATGTGAACTTGTGAGTTTGAATGCCAAAAACTTAAACCTAAAGTGTGCCTGGAAATCTTCAGCTCCAAGTTGCATTGATTTGTGTTCCAGTGGTAAACTTTGGCTGTCTGAGGGATATCACCAAAAAAAGCTGAATCCATCAAGGCACACACATTAAGAAAGTCATGATGGTTTTATGTGAAAATAGTAAATGGACTTGAGCTTGTATAGCACTTTTCTACTCATCTGACTACCCAAAGCGCTTTAACACTGCATGTCACACCCATTCACACACTGATGGTAGAGGTTGCTATGTAAAGGGACCTTTAGAAGTAACTAATCACATGCATACACCACCGCCAAGCAATTCAGAGTCAAGTGTCTTGCCCAAGATTGAACCCCAAATCGGTTGAGAGACGACTCAACCAAATGAGCCACAGCCACCCAAATTATCCCTAACAATGGTGAAAACTTAAATGATTTCAAAATACGATCACATTTTGTAATCAATTTATCTCTAAAAAAACAACACAGAGAATAATAAAAAGCAGCAGGTGCTATTTTTTTAATTAGCCTAATTAGATGGCTGTATATGTTTGTCCAGTGTGTAAATATTTTAATATAACACATGTTCATTGTCTTGAATATTTCTTTGTAATTGGTGTCTGGTTATCACAAAGACAATTTCACTGTAGTTGAAACTCTTAAGGGCATCAGAAAAAACTTAACATAGCCTAATATTTAATATTTTGTTTTGATATTTTGTTCAGTGATAATATTAATAACAAGAAAAATAATAATTCCTTGGGTTGCAATAGGGTCCTTCGCACTTGGACCCTAATTATCTTTAATACTATCAGAATAATATATGCAAGACCACTTGATATCCCAGGGAAATGCCATTAATGATATACTTGGGGACTAGTTAAATGGATGTGATTTATTTTTTTCTTTTGTGGTGCATGAATTCATCTTCAACATGCTCCGGCTGGCGTTGGAAGTAGTTCCGGTGGTTTAGCAGCCGAGCGGAGCACACAGACCCGGGATCTCCGTGTTGTTGAGTGCAAATGTGAACATAGGCTCTAGTCTTCCTGTCATGACTGTGGAGTGACCACGGCAGCGGTCAGTGTGCCCCCCGCAGAGCTTTGAGCTGCAACACGAGTGACAGCGACAGAACATCGCTGGAGCCTTTGCCTTCAAAGGGGATTTTTTTTTTCAAGTGCAACACAGGCGTCTTGATATCTGAAGCGGAGCAGATATCCTGAGCCGTTTCATATTTACCCACGACGGTGAGTAGCCTAGTCTGTGCAGGGGGATTTTGGAATGCCAGTCATGAATGTTTGAATTTAGCCTAGTTTATTATAAATAATGTTTTACCGGGAAAGGAGTCCTGAACGTCAGAATGACGAGTTTGCCGCCTGTCACATATGCATGGTAACAGACACAGACAGTGTTTTTTGTTTTTACCAAATGTACAAGCAATGTACAATCAACTTATTTGAAGTTTACAAGAAGCCTCCGGTTTGGAGATGCCATCCAGACAACACGATTAGCCTACTATGTAGAAAAGTGGTGTTGGTATCTTGGTTTTATCTAGTAATCCAAAGGAGTTAACTGGACGCGCATGAAGCCATGACAGTGCCTCTGAAAAACACTTTTTTTAAACAGTGGAAGCTTAAAATCTGAGCAACAACCCGAGCAGAGAGAGGAGGACTGCCCCTCAGTGAAATGTCCCTATTTGTCCCAACGTTACTGAATGGAAATGATAGATATTCTTTACTGCCGAAAAACATTATTGTTGTAGTTAACTATCGTAACAGAAGGAAAAGTTTGCCATTTCACGTGAAAAAGTAGCATATTATTTAGTTTTCACAGTAGGCTATGCCTAGGCCTATAGGCTACACGAAGGTTACTGTAAATAGTACAGTAGGATATTTGCATGCCTGTATGCATCATGTCATTGTTATCAAACAGCGCACTATTAAGGTATTTTTTTTTTCGTAAGTTGTTTCGAACAATAGGCTGTATGACAGCATTTGTTTTGTAAAAACAAATCGCGGTTTGTAACTTGTATAAAAAGAAAAGAAAACGTATAAACCTAATGATTCCGTTTTTTTGTTTTGTGCAAAGCATGCAGCCATTTCAAGAGTGAATTTATCTCATGAAACTGTAGAGCAATTTCAGTCCTTACACTTGAATTTACTAATTACCTTGTTGTCTAATATAAGATGCAGGTATTAAATATTTCTAACTTAACAGTAGCCTATATCTTATGCAGACTTAACTTGCCATAACCATGAGCATCTGTTGTACATGAGGCCATGCATGTCATTTTTATTTACTGCTTTAAAGATAGCTGAGTGTGTGGTACAGTTGTGGTGCAGTTATGCTTACTATGGATTTCTTTTCCATATACATGCATCAAATGGGCCATCATAATCTCCTTACAGAAATTATAACATTGCCCTGAACATGGACCAAATACTGTAAAGGAGTTATTATCTCTTGTCAAGCCTCTATATGGAGTATGGTGAGCCAGTGATAATATACTTTCGATCTCTCTAAAAAGACACAGAAAAGGGGAGATCTGTGTATTTAAGTGTGTGTTTGTGGGAGACAGGCTGAGAAAGCATTTGAGGCTGCCACTGATTTGGATGCGCCCTAATTCCTATCAAGATGAGAGCTGTCTGAACAGATTTCGCTCATCATTATTTGCTCTGAGATTTACTTGCGCTTGTAAATGGTGTTGATTGAGGGTAATTTGGCTTTTTAATTGCTGAACAGCTGCCACACTCATTGCTGTTTGCCATTGTAGACTTTCTCAGTAGATCACTCATAGGCCCCTAAATGCCTCATTAAAACGTTATGAAGAATTGCATGAAACGTGAAGAGAAGGAGCTCAATAATGTTTGACTGATTTGTTTTTACCATTCGAAAGGTCATTGTAATTATCGTCAATGTCAGCAAATGCAGTGCTGAAAGAACGAGTGTAGTAATGACTACTTTTTGAACTCCATATGCCAGTATGACAGATGTAAGTTTGATATAGATGAGAAAGACTCAAGAATGATTTCCATCATGTATCCTCTCTTGTAGAAAGACAATGTAACACACATATTCTCTCCAGGTTGATCGCTGCATATCTGGACCACCATACAAACAAAGTGGCTCTGTTAGAGCTTTTCTTTAAAATGTCTTTTATAAAAAGAACTTTTTATATGTACAGCAAAGCTTATTTTGGCAGAGCCTCATATGTAAAGTTTCCATGAGTATTAAATAATCCATTTATACACATTTACCGGTACATGCCACTGATGCAACAACGGAAGCAATTTTTGGTTCAGTGATTTGCCCAAGGACACTTGGACATGTGACTGCAGGAGCTGGGGATCGAACCCCGAACTTCCAGTAGAGAGACGACCAACTCTAACACTGAGCCACAGGATAAGGATTATCTGATATGGATGTTTACAGAAAACAATTGGCTTTTAAGGTCTTGTACATCAACCTGACAGAAGGGTCTCTTATTCACCCCATAATTCATGATTTATAGGCCCATTATAGAAAGGAAAAGGATGGGATGGCACATTTATTTACATGTCACACACATTAAACCTAAGAGATGTCTAACTAAGGATTTGATCAGCAAAAGAACTGAAACATAAGAGTTGAGATGTCCTGAGATGAAGAGGGTCATGCTTGTTATGTCAGTATAGCATCAAGTTGTGCCACAATTTGTAAAACGGATTAACCCATGCAGTGATTTTTCTTTTAGACTCAAAGGTCAATGGGCTTATTCCTTTCTCAAACTCGTAGGTGGAAGGGACAGCGGAGGTGCAGCTGGATTCAAATGTTACATATGTAACATGTTTCCCTACAGGGCTCAACAGTGTGGTTGTGGAAGTAAAAATCCCATTCATTTTCTCCACAAGCTATCCGAGTGTAAAACGATGGTATATGTTCCTGAAGAAGACACAAGTTTGTATGAGATCAACCTAGTTTTGAGGAAAACAAGATTTATAGGCGATATCGGGGCAAAGAACTACACTACCCATCATAGAGTGTCACAACGACGTCTCTGATTGGTTGAGCTTGCTGTTACCATGGCAATGTTTCCCGCCGTATGTGATCAGATTAGGTTCGCTAGTTAGCTAACACGTCAGTTAACTAACACGAAATTTATTAAATAACCTTGTCATGACGCAGTGAATGTAGTTTATATTTTCCACAACACAAACTACAAGATAGTACAACTCATGCATTAACAATATAACAATGACAAAAGTTACTTTTAAAAAGAAACAATATAATTCGCAATGGATTGTGTGATGGGTAGTTCCTTGACTCTGGACAAAAATTAGGTACACAGTCTTGTACTGTTTTTTTTAATCCCGTTTTGGTTCCGAATTAAGTGTACTAGAGTGTGAGAAATTCTGTTTATTTGATGGATTGCCCCTTGAGATGAACCATCTCGTTTTCGAGGGGGTCCAAAGTATTGGGGTAGCTGGCTGTCTTTGTTCCAGGCACCAATCTCTTGATATAAGGATTTTGTGAAAAATCAAGGGAGGATTTGAATGGGCAAATCTACTTCAGCTCTATTGGGTGGGAAAGGGCTTTGTTATTTCTTGACATCAGAGACCTCCAGAAGCTCAGTTAGCTCCTCAGTCATTTTCTGGGAATAAAAAAGTGGCGTTCCTGAAGCCGGACATAACTGTTTAGCTGACAGACCTTTGCCTAAACCATCCCCATTAAGTGCTGTTTTATCACTAGATGCTGATGGATTTTTTTTCTGCTCATGTCTTGGCCAACCAAAGGGTGAAATAGACAAGATGTAGCTTTCTAGATGTGACATGCTCTTCTAGGGACCTCCACTTCAGGTTTACTGTTTTACTAACAATACATCACCAACAATTGTGTAGGCAGTAATTACATAAAAAAACATGAACTCGCTGTCATTCTTAAAAATATTAAAGTAAAAATCAAAAAATATAGACAGTACCTCTAAATAATATGTTAACAGTATAAATGTTGCAATGATCATCGATTGGATCATAAGAAAAACAACCATGACCAACAAAACAGGCATTCATTGGACCCTCTCAAAACATCTTGAGGACCTCGATTTTGCAGATGACATCAGCCTCTTGTCCCATCAACACCAACACATACAGTCAAAACTAGCACGACTCTGTGGAGAGGCAGCTAAGACTGGCCTGAGGATAAACAAGACAAAGATAGAAAACATGCAAATTAACAATAAGCAGGAATCTCTGGTTCACCTACAGGGAGAGAATATCAAAGAAACTTACCACTTCACATATCTGGGAAGCATAGTCAGCAAAGATGGCGGATCATATCAGGACATCAAGAGCTGAAAAAACAAAGCAAGACATGCCTATAACACACTGCGACCCATCTGGAACTCAAAGGCTTTTTCCCTCCATAACAAGATCAGGATATTCATACCAACGTCAAGGCAGTCCTCCTATATGGATCCGAGACATGGAGAGTGACCTTCACCACCACCAACAGACTCCAGACCTTCACCAACAGGTGCCTAAGACACATCCTGAACATCATATGGCCTGACAGGATAACCAACAACAATCTGTGGGAGAGAACAGACCAGAAGCCTATCGGCCAGGATGGGATGTAGAGAAAGTGGGGGTGGATTGGACACACTTTAAGAAAATCAACAGACAACATCACAAGGCAGGCACTGGACTGGAATCCACAGGGGAAGAGGAAAGTGGGGAGGCCAAGACAGACTTGGAGAAGATCAGTCGAGAGTGAAGCCAAGAAAACCGGACAAACATGAACAAGCTGAAGAAAACTGCTCAAAACCAAAAGGGGTGTGGTTGCTGTCCTATGCTCCACTTAGGAGTCTAAATGAACAAGAAGAAGAAGATATACAAGAAGCTTGTTCTTTACATTATATAGTCATGTATTTAAGTGACTGGTGTTTAATGGGTAATTTTCAATATACAACTGAATTAACTATTTCATTATTTAAAAACACCCCAGTCCCACTCTGTCTATATATTTGTATGCATGTTATCTTGTTGTGTTTGTCCATCTGTGATTATCTGTCGGCATGCTGTCCATAACTGTACTGTGAAGTGGAAAAGAATTTCCCCTTGGGGACAATAAAGTAAAGTAAAGTATGATGGCCTAGATTTTTCACATCACATCATTCACCTGTGCTCCTTCTACAGCTCAGTAGTACAAAACTTTATGTTTAACCTGCAGTGTGGACAACATCTGTTAGCCTAAGCCACACTCACAATTA